GGCGGCCCGGGACTCAGCGGCTGCCATGGCAACCTCAGTTCTGGGTGCCCCCCAGCGCTCAGGACAATGACACCACTGGACAGGAGGGGGCGGGGAGTGGTGAGTGAGGAGGGCCGCGCAGGGGGCGGGGAGGCGGCTGGCGGCTGCAGGGCCACGGCCGGTCCCCTGGGGAATACTGGGGTGCAGGGAGGTGCACCTCCTCACGCGGCCCTCAGGTCGCACTCCCCAGCGCTCGTCCCGGCTGGTGCGGCCGCGGCGGGCTGCGCGCCCGGCAGCCCGCCCCGTCACCTTCCTCCCGGCTCCCGGCGAGTCCCCTCCCCTCCCGGGATCACCCGGCAGCCTGGGCGGTGGCCCTTCTTGGGACAGGATACCGGGCAGGAACCGGCCCGGCCGCTGCCAGGAAGTCCGTCCCCTTCCCTCCCGATCATTCTGCGCTCCGCTCCCTGCTTCCTCGCACCTTCCTTCCTTCCTTCCTTCCTTCCTTCCGCCGCCCCCCAGCTGCCCAGGTGGAGCCCCACGGACGTGGGACCCGCCGGGACGCAGGGGAGGGGCAAGGATCCGCTTGCTGGTCCTCGGGCTGGTCCTCGGGCGGGAGCCGGGGTGGGCCGGCTGGGGCTCGGGGGGCGCTGGGGGCAGCGGGCCAAGGGGACACCACCGCGGGGGGCGCAGCGCCCCGAGAAGGCCGGCGTCCCGACAGCACTTCCGGATCATCCCTAGCGGCGCCTTCCAAACCCCCAGTTGACTTGGGAAGAAAGCCCGAGGCTCAGGAGCCACCGCCCCCCTGCTGGCTACCTGTGGCCCGGGGGTGCCCCGGGTGGCCTGGGTGGCGGGTGGGGGTGTGTCCCAGGAGCCGGGAGGGAGGCCCCAGCCCGGGGAGGTGTGGCAGGCAAGGAGGGGGACACACGGGGCCCACTTCAGTTTCCACCTGGGCCCCTCGTTCACCCCTCATTATCCTGAGTGTCACACGCCGTGGACCTCTGCTCCCTCTGCCCGTAGCTTCCGTTCAGCCTCACCCTGTGACAAAAGCGGGGGGCTCTAAGACTCAGCCGCCAGAGGGGAGGTGGGTCCTGGGGCCTCGAACTGTTCAGCGTGGCCTGAGAGCAAGAGGCTTAGCCCTCGGCACGGACACTGGGACGAGCCTGTGGGACTTGACCCAGGTGGGGGCATGGAGCATGTGATGGGGGGGGCTGCCTCCTGGTGTGGGGGGGGAAGGGGGGAGAGGGGGGAGGGGAGGGCCTCGCCTGCTGCTGTGTGGCCTCCCTGTCTCTCCCCTGCATCCAGCTCCTCCTCCCTCCTCTCCCTCCGGTGGGCTTCCATCCCATGTCACGTGGTGCTGGCCCTGAATACTGAGGACTTCGGGGGCCTGTGCCCCAGTGTCCGTGTCTGAACACTCAGGGCCCCTACCCCAACACCCATCAGGAAGGAGTGAGATTCCCAGCTGTACAGGGATCATCACTGTGGTGGGGAGGAGCCTGAGCGGGTTGGCTGTGCCCAGGTGGTGCTGAGGGTCTGCCTACGGGGCATGGCCTTGGCCCTCCCCGAGGGTGCTGGGGTGGGCACCCAGGGAGGGCATGCAGGGGGGGCACGTGGGGTGGGCACCCAGGGAGGGCACAGGGTGGGCATGCAGGGAGGGCGCCCAGGGCAGGGCGGGCACAGGTGCGGCCGAGGAAGCAGGCCGCGGGGGCTCTGGCGGCCTCGGGGGCCCTGGCACTGGCCCCGACGCGGCGCTGAGCCACAAAGGGAAGAGCAGTTACAGCTAATCGCTCTGACAGCCCGGGGGCCAGACTCACCCAGACACAAAACCCACAGATTCAGCGCGTTTCCCCGCTCGAGCTCCCGGGGCGCGCCCCCCCCCCGCCGCCCCCCCCCCCCGCCCCCGGCCGCCCCGACCGCCGCCGGCCGCGTCCCGGTCCCTCGCACACATTCCCCTCATTCTCTCTCCCCCCGACTCGGGCTCCATCCTCGGCTGACTCAGACTCATTCCCTCCCGCCCCCTCCTCCGGCCTTCCGCCGCCCCGGGGCGCAGACAGCGGCCGCTCCGGGGCCCCGGGCGCCCAGCGGGCCCAGCACAGCGCCCTGCGCGGCCCCGGACCCCGGATCGCAGCCCCGGATCCCCGCCCTGGATCCCGGATCCCGGATCGCAGCCCCGGATCCCAGCCCCGGATCCCGCCCCGGGGGACCGCGGGACCCGCCCCCCCGCCCGTCCCGCAGCGGGTCGCCCGGGGCCGGGCGCATGGAGGCCGTGGGGGAGGGGGATGCGTAGCGCGGGGCCGGCGGTGATTTGCTGCGTGCGAAGCGGTGTGTGTGCACGAGTCACATGGGCGGGTGTCGGCGCGCGTGCCGGCGGGCTCCCGTACGCGTGTGCCCCGGTCGGCCCCCGCGCCCCCGCCCGCGCCCCCATCCCCGGCCCCCCGCGCCCCCATCCCCGGCCCCCCGCTCCCCCATCCCCGGCCCCCCGCTCCCCGGCCCCCGCCCTCACCGCCTCGGGCTGAGCGCTCAGGGCGCGGTCTCCGGCGTCCCGGGTCCTGGGCAGCGTCCGGAGCCTCCGCTCGGCTCCCGCCGCTCCTGCCGCCGCCGCCGCCGCTTCCGCCCGCCGAGCCCGAGCCGTAGCCCCAGCCCCAGCCCCGCGCGCGCCCCGCCCGCCCGGCCGGTGACGTCACCGGGGCGGGGCCTGCGCGGGGCGGGGCCTGCGCGGGCGGGCGGGGGCGGGGCTGCGCGGGCGGGGGCGGGGCCGCGCGGGCGGGGGCGGGGCCGCGCGGGGGCGGGGCCGGGGTTCTGGAAGGCTCGCGGGTGGGCTGCGGGCGGCCGGCCGGCGGGCGGGCGGGGGGCGGGGGGCGGACCCCGCTGCGGGCCTCGTCCTCTCCGTCCTCGCCCGCGGGCCCCGGGCCGCCGGCCTGCGCGGGGAAGCGACGGCGGAGGCGGAGGCCGAGGCCCCGGATCCCCCGAGCGGCCGCGGCAGCGCGGCGGCGGCCCCCTCCCCTCCACCTGGGCCCTCCCCCGGGGTGATGCCCGCGTGTCCCTCTCACCTTCCCCAGATATCCCGCCCGCCGGCCTCCCCCCACCATGATGTAATTTGATTTTCTGGGAGGAAAAGAGCAGCGGTGAGCTCAGCCTGCAAATATAGACGCCGCCGTGCAAAGCCACGCTCCGCTCGGCCTCCCCTCTGCCTCGGCCCGCGGCCGGCCGCGCTCTCACTTCCTCTCGGCCTCGGGGACTTTCCTCCCAGAGTCTCGGCCACACTGAAACAGGGAAGGAACACGGGGGAGCAGTCTGCGCCCCATCTGCAGCCGGCGCGTGGGGCCCTGGGAAGAGGCCTGTGCCACCTCCAGCTGGGGAGCCCCCCTCCTGGCCTACAGGCCCCCTCCTGCCTCCTCCCTGCTCCCCCATCACCACCCTCTGCTAGCAGGGCGACCCCGTGCCCTGGCTGTGTGTCTCCTGTGCTGTGTCCTGGGACCGCGAGCCATTTCTCTGAGCCATGGTTGAGACCCAGAGACCCAAAGTGACACATGTACAGGGGCTGGGGCTTCGCACTGGCTCTGCCCCTCCCGGGTATGCCCCCAGTGCCCAGCGCCCTCGCCAGGAGGGTGCACATGCTGCTGCCCCCCGGGCAGGGCTCTCCCGAGAGGCGGAAATCCTGAGTGTCAGGAGTGGCACAGATGGATGCTATGGGCGGGGGCCTTGCCCTGAGCTGTGCGGGCTGCCGGCTGCCCGTGGTTGGCCCAGGGCCCACTCCACGTATTAGATGCAGGACTGAATGGTGGCAGGAGCCCTCCGCTCCTCCGGGGGCGCTTCCTGGGTTTGTCCAGGACGGTGACGTGTCTCCTGCACTTAGCTGTCCTGTAGTCTCAACGGCACCTCTGTACCTGGCCCACAACTGTCACGTCTGTGAGTTCCGGGCAATCAGTGCCTTGGTCCCCCCCACCCCCCCGGCGGCGTCCCACACCCTTAGCCGGACGCCAGCCTGGGCTGTGCTGGGGGCCATGCAGAGCCTTCCTGCCCGGAACCTCGGCCACCCAGGCCCGGGAGCAGGGTGGGGGCCCGCGTGGGCAGAACTCTGTGCCTCCTCTGCAGGGCGAGCCCTTCTGGTGGCCTCTGGCCGTGAGGGCCAGGGCCCCCTTCCCTCCCTCTGCCCACCTGCCCATCAGTGCCCTTCCTCCCGGCTCCCAGGACGAGACCCAAGCCCCACACACCCTGTGACGCCCGCCCATCCTCATGGGGCCCACTTGCGGGTCTCCTCTTGTCCCGCTCATCTCTTCTGCGCCCCCAGTATGACACCCACATCCTGCAGGTGCTTCTGATGCTCTCCACTGACGGGCAGGCCCCTTCCCTGCCTCCTCTGCCCCGTCAGCCCCCACTCTTGCTGGGGAGGGCCTAGCAAGGGCTCACTCCTTGGAGCCTTCGGAGCCCACTGCGTGGCGGTCACTCCCTCCTGAGCCCTTCTGTTCACTGGCGCCTTCTGCTAGCAGACGCGGTGGAGGCCGCCCTTGGTGAGCACAGAGGAGAAGCCCGGGCTCCTGCCTTCAAGGGGCCCATGGTCCAGTGCGGGGGGACAGACACGTAGCCACAGGTGGAGGGGGTCGCCGAGGAGAGTACCCCAGATGAGGGGGCTGCAGCGGGTGCCGCCTCTGGGAAGCCCTCACCGAGGAAGTGTCACTGGGGCTGAGTCTTGACTTTCGGAGAAGAGCTGCAGGGAGGGTGCGATCCAGCAGCGCAGGATCAGTCTGTGGTGGGCTTCCATGTGCTCCGGCCTGTCCTCACTTCCAGCCCGGCACTCCCAGAGCCTCCCGGGGTGCTACACAAACATCTTGTGTTGCGGGGGCGAGGAAGCTTGGTGCCTGGCCACAGATAAGTCATCCACTCTCCTCTGGGGACGATGGTCTGGAGGGAGGCACCCATCCTGCTCGGATCGCAGCGCCCGCCCCCCCCGCCCCCTCCCCCCGTCCTCATCCTCCGGCTGCCCCCCTCCTGCCGCGGGGTGACACCTCTCAGCAGACACCTGCTCATGCTGCCCCAGATCCTTTATTGAGGCCTCTCAATGTCTGACCCAAATACGTTAACAAGAGATTGCCGCGAGGTGGCCCGGGACGGAGAGCCGCCCTCCCTCCTGGCCGGAAGGACGGAGGATTTGGGGGTGTGGGGAAGAGTGTGTGCAGATGGGGGGAACGGAGGAGAGGAGGGTCACGAGGGAGAGCACACGGACTGGTGGGGGAATCCGTTTTGGGACGGGGCCACCGAGGGACAGGGAACAGTCAGTGAGGCGGCTGGGCGGGCACGTGGAGCACAGGGGGTCCTGTCCCTGTCAGGTGACAGTTGGGGTCAGGTCAGTGGGCCCGATGCAGATGGAGGGTGACCCAGGGTCCCTGGAGGAGCCCAGGGAGGGGCAGGGAGGGGGGAGCACAGGAGAGCAGCGGGCGGGCGGGCAGGGAGAGGGCGGCCACAGCCGCTAGTCATCGTCATCGTCGTCGTCCTCCTCCTCATCGTCGTCCTCCGTGTTGATCTCGCCCTCCAGCACGTCCTCCAGCCAGTCCTCCAGCTCCTGGGCGGAAGGCAGGTCCTCCTCGTCGTCCATCTCCATCCACACGCTGTCGGCCTGGTGCGGGGCACACGCAGGGGACCGGGTGAGCCCGACCCGGGTCCTAGGAGCCCGGTCCCCCAGCTCACGGGGCCCCTGCCGTCCTTCCCCTCCCCCGGCGCCGTCCAGGTTGGCGGGGTGGCCTCTGTCCTCGGCCTTCCTAACAGGCCTCTGGCGTGGGCCGGCGGGGGGCCCTCGGCGGGGAGAGTGAGGCCTGGCGCCTGTCAGCGCTTCATCACCTGCTGTTCCAGCACCTTCCACAGAACCCTCGAGCCTCACAGGCCGTAAACACGACTTGCCTTTTCCAGAACTTCACAGTCCTTCTCCTACTTGTGACCTTACTTAGCTCTACCTCTTGCGTCGGTTTGGAAAGGCCTTGCGTGTGCACGTGGCGTGCCCCGCAGGCTGCGCGGTCGCCGCACCAAATGCCCCCCCCAAGCCTCTCTCCGGCGGAAGTGGCTTTGATTTCTGTGGCCTCCTAGCACTTTATTGGTCTCCTCGTGGTCGCGTCTATAAGATCTGGCCGTGTCGTCAACACAGCACCTGCCTCCCGGGTCACACCGGGAGCTGGGGGGACGCAAAGACCGTACACAGCCCGATCGTTTCATCGCCACAAAACCACGGCTGAACACCTGCCACGTGTGGGTGAGATTTCTGCCCTCAAAAAGCTCAACGTCCGCTGGAGAGGCAGACGCGCCCCATATGTAGACCTGAGACGAGCCACATGGCAGTCACGTCCTCGATGCCCAGGGGGCTCTGCGAGTGCCGGGGGGTGGGGTGGTGACTCCAGGGGGGGGTCTGGGGACCGGCCCTGCAGGACGGGGAGCATGTTCAGAGCCTGAGTGCGTCCGTCCAGCCCTGAGATGGCGTGTCTGACTCCTGGGGGGTCCGCAGAGCAGGGAATCAGGGGTGGAGGCCAGCGGGGCAGGAGGGGGACTCACGTCCGTGACGTTGACCACTCCTATTTGTGGGGCCGACAGGTCGATGTCGAACGTCTTCTCCCAGTATGGCACCAGCTGGGGAGAGACCACAGGGCGCCGTGAGGGGGTGTGGGGGGAGCAGGTGTGGGCGGCTGGCGCAGGGGCGTCCCCGTGAGCCCTGGGCTGATAGGGTGCGGGTCCAGCTGTAGGGCCTGCAGGGAAGGGCGAGAGGCCAGCAGCAGCAGGGCAGTGCAGACGCCGGCCCCTCCCCCGAGGAAGGCTGGGCCGGAGCCCGTGTTCTGGGCCTGGTCCCGCTGCGGCGGTGCCACCAGGTCACCTCGGGGCTGCTCAGCCGGGCGCTCCTGAGCTGAGGCCTCTGTGCACGGCGATCAGGGCCACTCGGGCAGCAGATCACTCGCTCCTGCCACGTGTGTGCTGGGGGTCGGGCTCCGGTGGGGACCGAGCTGTCCCCTGGGACTCGGCGCTCCGCTTGCACCCACCTGCAGGGCCCGCCCGTCTGGTCTGCCCCCCACAGCGCTGCCGGTTGGGGCTGGGGGGAGGGTGCCTGCCGGGCCTCCGCTCGGGGCGTCGTGTGTTAGGCTCCCTGCGGTTGACCTGCCGTCCTGTCTCCCTGCCTCGGGCTGCCTTTCCTGTCCTCAGTGCCCCTGAGGACCCACCGTGACCTCCCGCGTCCCGGGCCAGGCGTCGGGGCAGGAAGACGCCCGCTCAGGGCCCCATTCGGGCCTCTTACCAGGGGGAAGTCGTCAGGGTCAATCCAGATGATGCTGAGGTCCGGGTTGTCCGTGTTATCCTGGGCCACGGCCTTGAGCGTCTCCAGGAACTCGAAGCCGTCTTGGGGGGAACCCGAGTGTTGGGTGGTCGGGGGGCAGGCGCCCTGCCTCCACCTCCTGCGGCCCGGGCCGCTGCGCTCCTGGGAGCCCCCCCCCCCCGTGCGGTGCCCTGACCAGCCTGGGCTCCCCTCCCGCCCGCACCCGTCCAGTCGAGCTTCCTCCCTCACCAGGATCGGCCTCCTCGGCGAAGGCCACGATGTGAATCCCGTCCATGTCGTCCTCCTGGGAGGGGAGGGGGCTTAGCTGTGCGCCCGGAGGAGGGGGCACCCCTGGCTCCCGCGGGCCTGGACGTCGTGGAGCCGCGGCTTCCGGGTCAGGTGGGTTCTGGCTGCACCACTTGCCTCCAGGCCCCGCGCCGGCCAAGCAGACCCCTCCACCCCACGTCCCCCCGTCACCGTGTCAGCCTGTGTGTCTCCCAATCCCCAGGACACTGCCCTGCAAACTCGGCTGGTGCGCGGTGGCTCCTACCAGCGAGGCACAGGCTGCGGCAGGGCCGGAAGCTTCCAGAACTTGGGTCTTCAGCCACCTGCGTCCCTCCCCCTGGGGCCCAGCCCCGTCCTGGGGCGGGGGGGACACTCACCCAGGTCTCATACATGCTCTCGGGCTTCAGCTTCCTCAGGGTGGACCTAGGAGAGACGGTCACTGCTCAGTGGGCAAGAGAGAAGGATGCCCCCCCTTCCAGAGAGTTCCACACGACACTGGCTGCCTCTGGGTCAAGCCTGGGGCACAGACGGCTCGTAGCCCAGAGCAGAGCCATCTGGCAGAGTCTGAGCGCTGGGCTCCGGGCCCAGGTGGGGGCGCATCGGCCAGGCCCGTGGCCTGGAAGAGAAGAGGGTCTTTGGGAGAAAGGCGGGAACGGGGCGTCGGGGCCTTCACGCATTGTTGTGGTTCAGCTGAGTCTGAGGCATGTTAGGCACGTGGCGGGCGCGCTGGATGTAGGCCCTGCCGGGCCGGGGGGGGTCCCTAATCTGGGGGGGTCAGGCTGCTGGCGTCCCACGGAGCTGTGCACGTTCCCGGCGGGGAGTGCCAGGAGGGAAGGGGTCCTGTGGGTGTGGGTGGGGGGCAGGGGGCTCAACCTCGGCACCACTGACCTTTGGGGCTGGAGAGTCCTCGGGGCCCGGGGGGTGCAGGGGGTGACCGTGTGCCCTGGAGGTCGTTACCAGCACCCCCGCTTCTCCTCCAGCGAAACCTCCTCATTGCCCCCCAGGAGTTCCCTCCTCCAGCGAAAATGCCCCGTGACCCCTGAAGGGCAAAACCCACCCCCACCCTGGCCGCCCTGCCCCCTGTGCTGAGAACCACGTCCTGGGATTGAGTCCCGCTTTGGGCCCCTGCCCAGCAGGAGCCTGCTGCTCCCTCTCCCCCTGGCCCTCCCCGTGCTCGCCCTCCCTCCCTCTCTCTCTCTCCCTCTCTCTCTCTGTCAAATAAATAAAATCTTTATTTTTTTTTAAATTTTTATTTATTTATGATAGTCACAGAGAGATAGAGAGAGAGAGACACAGAGACATAGGCAGAGGGAGAAGCAGGCTCCATGCACCGGGAGCCTGACGTGGGATTCGATCCCGGGTCTCCAGGATCGCGCCCTGGGCCAAAGGCAAGCGCCAAACCGCTGCGCCACCCAGGGATCCCTAAATAAAATCTTTAAAAACTAACTGATAACGGAGGGGGACGGCCGTCGGGGTTCCTGGCAGACGGCAGGCCGTGAACGCCGGTCAGGGTCAGGGAGCAGGGTGGGCAACGCTGTGGGGCCTGGCGGCATGGGAGGGAGCGCGGGCACCCGGAAGACGGGTGCAGGGAGAGGGAGAGGAGCTCCGGGCTGCCCCCCCCACCTGCCCCTGCCCCGGAGGATGAGCTGCCCCGCACCCACCTCCTGTGCTTCTCCACGAAGCTGACGATCTCCTCCTCGCTGTTGGGCTTGTCGGGGATGGTCACAGGCTCTTCCATGAAGGCCTCGTAGAAGTCGATCTCATTCAGCTTCAGCGTCAACTTCTTCGCCACCTTTGGGGGAGGAGGCAGGGGCGAGGGTCAGGGGAGGCGGGTTCCCGGGGCGCGCGCCTCAGGAAGGGGGTCGGACTAGCTGGCCCGGCCGCTGCCTTGCCTTCCCCGGGCCTGGGCTGGACGAGGGGTGGGCTGAGTAAAATCTGGATGGGGGTGGCGTGCGGGTGGGGAGCGTCCCGGGTAGCAAGGGGCCAGGTTTCCGGGGCCCTGGGGGTGAGGTCGGGACGGCTGCAGGGAGTGGGGCGCCCCTCCGGCCATGGGGACGTGAACCTTGCTGTCGAAAGTGGCGAAGAAGGGGATGTAGGGGTGAAACTCCTCCGCCGCGTCCTCGAAGGCCTTGTAATCTGAGGGAGAAACTTTGGGTCGGTCTCTGGGGAGCCGGTCTCCCAGTAGCCCTCCCTGCCCCCCCCCCCCCCCCGCGTCTGGGCGGGTTCGGGCTGAGACCCACCCCCTAGTCCTCTGGGAACAGCCGAAAGTCAGTGGGGGAGGTCAGGTGCAGGGGGTGCCCGACCGGGAGCCCCAAGTGCAGAGAGGTCAGAGCGGGAGGGGGGTTGGGTGTAGACACGCGGGTGGAGGGGGGTTAGGAGACGGGTAAAATGGGGGTCCCGGGAGGGCCTCAGGCATCAGGGGTTACCCACGCTCTGAATCCTTGTTCTTGAAGTAGCCAATGAGTTTGATCTCGTCCTCGATGTTCTCGAATGCCTGCAGCTCTCGTTCGCCTTCGATCAATTCCACGGGGTCCTCCAGGACCTGGGGGGGCAGTAAGGAGGGGAGCGAGGGGAGCGAGGGGAGTGGGGGGCATGAGGAGGGGAGCAAGGGGGTGGAGGGGTCATGGGCTGCATGCACGTGTGTGTGCACGTATGTGATGCATGTGCACGTGTGTGCATGCTCGTGTGCTTATGTGCGTGTTCATTTATGTGCTCATGTGCATGCTTCTGTGTGCTCGTGTGTGCTCATGTGTGTGCTTGCATGTGCATGCTTGTGCGCTCGTGTGTGCTTGCATGTGTATGCTCACGTGTGCTCATGTGTGCTCGTGTGTGTGCTTGCATGTGCATGCTCGTGTGTGCTCGTGTGCGTGCGCGTGCACAGAAGCAGGGGCCGGGTGGGGCCAGGTGTGGGGGGCTGAAGCAGGGCCAGTGGGGCAGGTGGATCCTCACGTCGAGCAGGAACTCCACCAGGGTGTCAGCAGAGAACTCGCCGTCGTACTCAATGACTTCATCCCCCTTGAACACGTAGATGCTGTCCTCCTCCGTGAGCCCTGGGGGACACGGGGTGGGTGGGGGCTGGTTGCCCACGGCTCCAGGCCTGGCCTCCCCCCGCCCCCTCCCCACGCATGACGCATCCCCCCACAGCCTGGGGTCTGTGCCTGTGGCCTCAGCACCCCCGGAGCAGGCGGGTGCGGGGGGACATGGGGGGATCCAGAGTCCAGCCACACGCCCCCCATGTCTGCTTCCCCTACGACAGGCGGGCACCCCCCAGCCCCTGGGCACTGTCCCACGGCTGTGACTGCCCCATGCCCGCCTTCCCCAGCCCGGCCTGCCACCTCAGGCCTGTGCTGCTCCCTGGTGGCTGCCACGGGGCCCTGACCAGGGCTCTGCCCCCCGCCTGTCCCCCCCCGCCCCCCCTCCTGCTTTCCAGGGAAGTGTGACGAAGGCCGCCCCCACTTTGGGATTAGAGCCCGGGTGTCTGAGGCGGGCAGACGGGCAGGGCCCCTCCCCAGTCAGTGTCTCTGCCCCCGGGGTGAGGCCCTGGACCCGGGCTTGTGCAAGGACAGCTCCTAACCCCTGGCCCAGGCCGCCCCCTCCAACGTCTATGCGCCTGGGCCCCGCAGTCCCACAGCGCCCGCCCTCCCGGGTCCACACCACCCAGCCCCCCTGGGTCCACACCACCCGTCCTCCCGGGTCCACACCACCCGCCCGCCTAGGTCAACACCACCTGGCCTCCCAGGTCCCAAACCACCCGTCCTCCTGGGTCCACATCAACTATCCTCCTGGTCCACACCACCCACCCTCTTGGGTCCATACCGCCCGCCCTCTCGGGTCCATGCCACCCACCCTCCCGGGTCTACGCCACCCGGTCCCCCAGGTCCCACACCACCCGTCCTCCTGGTCCCACACCACCCACACTCCCGGGTCCACACCACCCGCCCTCCCGGGTCCCACACCACCCGGCCCCCCAGGTCCCACAGCACCTGGCCCCCCCGGTCCCACACACACCCCCTTACCCAGTTTCTTGGCCACAGCTGCGTCCTTCTCAGAGTCCACCAGCCCGAAGCCAACGCCCTTGTCTTCGAGGACTTGGGCCGCTAACTGGAGGGAATGTGTTCAAGTCAGCTTCAGGGTTCTTGCCCCCCCGTTCCCATGTCATGCTTCAGGTGGGGTCATTTGGGATTCGGGGAGTGAGGACTTGGCCTCGGCGCTGCACGGGGCTTTGGGAGCTCCACCTTCCCTGCAAGCCCACCCTTGGGTCTGCAACTCAATCTTGACCCCTGGCCGTCTATTGCTCCTGGATGCTGTGCTTCTGGGGTTGCACAGTAAGGGCACGCGCGACACCCCTGGGGGCCTAGAGATGCTGAGGGGGTCTGGTTTCAGAGTGATGGAGGCCCTTCCTGCTCGGGGGCTGAGAGCCCTGCCCTCCATCCTGGGTAAAGGCCATGCAGTGTGGGGCGACGTCAGAAGTCCCTGGGGTTCTTCCGAGTGACCCCCACTGGGCAGGGGGGTGTGCGGGGGGTCTGGCCATGTCGTGAGGAGTGGGGAAAGCCAGAGAGCTGAGTCTGAGGTCCCCGTGGCCTCTGCTTGTCACCTTCGGAGACGGGGACCCCAGGAGGCACTAGAGGGGAGATGGCAGGCCCCCCCTTGCCCCCTTTCCCTCTTCACCGCAGCTCGCCTTTACGCAGGCCGTGGTGGTCTCTGCCCTTGGTGCCCGCCTCCCAGCAGGACCCTGGGCCACTCTGCGTGGCTTTGCGGCTTTTCCCACCTGCCAGAGCCAGGCGCCTGGATTCTCGGGAGGACGGGGAAGGGAGGCTATTGGCAGGTGGATGGCCCGAGATGCTGAGCACTCAGGATAAAAATACTCCACGCACATCAGATGGCAGGTCCCAGCAGCCGCAGGGGCACGGGAACGGCCCGTGGTCCTGCCCCGCTGTCCTGCAGGGACGCAGAAGGGCTGCAGAGCTTGGGCCAGGAGGCTGGCCACCTGGGGCTAAAGAGGTGGGGCCCAGCTCCAGGCATCCCCCCCATGGGCTGCTTCTCCCCTTCTAAGTCCACTTGGGGGCCAGGAGAACCTTCCCGCAAAGAGAAGCTGGGGAGAGCGTGCTGAAGCCTCCTCCAATCGCATGAATTCTCCAATCGGGGTGTCCAGCCCGACCCGGGAGGGACCGATGGGGAACAGGGGAGAGCGGGAGCCATGCTGGTCTCCCTTACACCTTCAGCAGAAAATAAGACGTCAGGAGCATTTAAAATTCGTGCGTTTGCATCTTCTTGGGGGGCAGGTGGGGGTGGGGTGCAGGGAGGGGAAGGTAGATGGGGCGCTGTGCGCAGCTCCTCCCCCTCCTCTCTCTTCCTCCTGGTGCTCCCCTTCCATGGACGCCTGGGTGCTAGCTGCCTCCTGTAGCACGGAGGCCACGGGCCTGCAGCCCCTCCCTCCTGACCGTGCCTCCCTGCAGTGGAGCTTCAGGCCCCAGGCCAGTCGCCCCCAGGCCCCCCTGCACAGCCCCTCCACGTGTGCATGCAGCCTCGGGCAGGGGCTGCCGGGGGTGGGGGGACTGGTGTGCCTGCAACCCCACTGCTCACCTCCAGGATCAGCTCTTCCATCTCGAACTGTCTCTGCGAGGCCTTGTCATCCTCGGGGGGCTCGTGGTACAGCAGCGCCAGCACCTCGTACTTCTTGAACACGTTCTTGTAGTTCTTTGCGTTGACGTTGACCACACGGTCCACACCGTCATACTCGGGGAACTCCAGCCCTTCTTCCCCCTGCACCCCCAGCCTGGGCGGCCCAAGCACCAGCAGCAGCAGCAGTGCCAGCGGCAGGCCGGGCGCGGATCTGGCCCCCATCCTGTCTGCAGCGCACAGGGAGGTGGTGGGCTCAGGGTCGGGGGTCCTGGTCCAGAGGAGGGTCGCGGCCGGGCCCTGGGTCCTGAGCCCTGAGTTAGGGGCTCGCCGTGGGGGCGGGGTGGGGAGCGGCCCAGGGCAGTGGACAGAGGACACTGCTGGGTCCTGGACAGGCCACCGACAGAGCCAAGAGTGAAAGGGTCAGGAGGAGGGATGGGAGCAGGGGGCGGGGAGGGAACCGGAGCCGCAGGCCCCAAACTGGCACCGCCGGGCCCCCGCCTGGCTCCATCTAAATATGTCTCTGCGGTTGGCAGGCGAGAGGATAACCTTCTGCGGCCAGGACAGCTCCGCAGGCCCCGACGACGTCCCACCTCCTGGCCTCGCCCTCAGGCTCCCGCGCCCCTCCCCTCCGCCTTCCCTGACGGCCAGGGCTCCTCAGCGGGCTCTCCACGCCGCCCTAAAAGCTCATCGCCATATTAAGAAAGGAAAAAGCCTGAGCTAAAAATAAGACCAGATGAGTCGGAGGTAAATGAGCTGGGCTGGGGGAGGGGAGGTGCGTCCCGGGAGGGCAAGGGTACTCAGACCCAAGGAGCGGGGGTGCGGAGGAGGCCTTCTGGGTCAGGACAACGGGGACACGGATGGCAGATGGCCTCTGGGCCTCAAACCCGGGGATGTCCTCTGGGCGCAGTCTGTTTCCTTGATCCTGGGAGGCCAGTAGAGAGCGCCCCGGCTGCAGGGGAGACCCCCACGCTGCCCCGCAGAGAACCAGGACCAAGGATGAGGTCATCCCCCAGTAAAAGATGGAGCCGTGTCCAGCACTGGCCACCTGGCTCGGGCCCAGCGGTTTCCTGCACCTCCCTCCCACTCAGGAGCACCACGGCCACCCTGCGGGGCTGTGATTTAGGGTTTCTGTGGGCGGAGGCCCCAGGTGGGGAGGGGGCTGCGTCCTGCTCTCCCTCTGCACTCCCATTGCTCCCATCGGAGGGGACTTGGTTCTCCAGGGCCCAGTGGGAGGGGGGTCCCCGGGCCTGGATGGTCTCAGGGAGGGAGAGTAGCCACAGGGCGTCCTTGCAAAGACGTCAGGCAGCAAGGCCAGGGGCGAGTCAACCCTGGGGCAGCCCGGAGAGGTGGGCCTGCCCTACGGCCACGATGTCCCCTCGCCTGTGCCCTCCAGGGCCCAAGGGGACATGGCAGGAGGGACTCTGACCTCTCGCATCCCATCCTGGGGGTGAGGGCTGTGGACCAGTTCTGCTCTGGGTACCTTGTGGCCCCCCGGGGGGCTCTTCCCTGGACAGGTAAACTGAGGCATGAGGGAGCCCGTGGAAGAGGCTAGATCAAAGCCCTCCATCCCCACCCTGAGGTGTCTCTGATTTTGGAGACACAGAGTTTGTTTTGCACCCAGACAGGGGCATGGACTTGTGTTAGAGGAGGAACATCCCCCATCCTGTGGGGTGGGCCTTGCACAGCTAAGCGGGGAAGGCCACAGAAAATCTCAAGCATGTGGCAGGAGTGCGTCCAAGAGAGACAGCTGTGCTGGAGCGAGGGAGGCCAGGGCTGGCCTGAGCAGGGCTGCTGGGAGCTCCAGCCGCCCCGGAACCCATCTCCTGGTCTCACCGGGGAGCCCCCGACCTGCCCTGCCCGTGGGTCCCCCAGCCCCAGGGCCATGGCATGGGGCGGCTTCTGCTGCACGCTGGGGAGGGGGCCACCCTGGAATATGGGACCTCCCCTCGGCACCCCTCGGGCCGCGAGACGGGGCTACGGGGTGCCCTGGGCCTGCAACCCCCACCCTTGGCTCCCAGGCCTGCCCGGGGCTCCCCAGCAGCTGCGCCCTCCCACCTGCCCCTCACCCCTCTCCCTGCTCCCCTCAGCCCTTTCCCTCGGGCCCCTGCCTCCAGGCCCTTGGACTTAATAGGCCCGGGCAGCCGGTATCAAATGACCCTGAGTTGGGGCCTCTGTATTTTTAACCCACCAGACACCCGAAGCTCCTGCTGCTGAAACCCGAGGAGCTGGCCCCTCGGCCTCCCCGTCCCCACTCAGTCCCCGCAGCCCAGCCTCTGCATCTTCCAGGTCTGGTTCAGCCTCGTCAGCAGTCAGCAGCGGGAAGGACCCCTGTCCCCAGGGGACCTGCTTTTGCAGGAGGGCAGGCGACAGGTGGGAGCGCCCTGGGGACGCTGCTCCTCACAATGGCCCGTCTCTCCGCAGCCTCCCTCCGGCCTCCCTCCGGCCTCCGCCCTCACCCCTCTCTTGGTCTGTAGCCGTGCATCTCGGCCCAGCCCTCACTGTGGGCCTGGGCACAGGGGGCTGAGGGTGTAAGTCTGGGAATCGGCCGCACCCCGGTTCCCTCATCCGTGAGCCAGGGTGGGCGCTAGGAGCCTGAGTGTCATGCGCATGGCAAGCGCTTGTCCCACGGCCAGGGCAGCACGCGTGTCCTGCGGGTGCGGACGGTCTGCCATTTCCAGCAGGTTCCTTCCACCCGGCCCTGCTCCGCCTGCTTGGGGCACGGCCCCCCAGGAGGCGTGACAGCGACCTGAGCTAGAGGGTCAGGTGGCCCCGCTCACCACGCAACAGCCCGCAAATGGGTAAAGAGGAAGGCGGGGCACCCCAGGGTGGGGGTGGGGGGGAAGGCCCCAGGGCTCCTCCTTCCTCCGGTGCAGACTTCGGGACAGTCTGGCACCCTGTGTGTGTGTGTGGGGGGGCAGGACGCTTCCTGGGAAGTCAGGGCTGCGGGGATCCAGAGTGAAGGGAGGGGTCAGGATGGCCGCCAGCAGGTGCGACCACCGTCCCCGCCCCAGGCGACCCCTCACCAGGTGGTGCTTCCCGGGTCCCCCTGGGCACCATCCGCCTGATGAAATGCGGCCTGTTCTGCCCCGAAGTTCCACGAGGAGCCCGCTGCCCGCCTGGTCGGGGAGCCGTCCCCCGCCTCCTCTCCCCCTCAGGTCTTCGGACTTTAAGTTGGGGGCTTGCCCTCGAGGGCCAGGGATGCTTGATTCCCAGCCCCTGCCGGCCTCCACCAGGGCCGGAGACACTGCCCATGCAGATCGAGGGGACCCTGGCGCCATCACCCCGCTCTCCGGAAAGCAGACGCGCGCAGGCGGCCAGGGGAGGGCTGTTGCAAACATTTACTGTCGGGACTGGCCACCGGTTCCGCAGGACGGAGCCCCCAGGGCCCCAGGCCAGCCCCGGGACTGCTGGCCCCTCTCATCCTAGGTCATTCATCCTAGCATCTCTGCCCCTACCATGCTCTCTCGAGGCGCCAAGCCCAGAACCCCAACCCCCCCCCCCGCCCTGGGGCACCCCCCATGTCGGGGCAGCTCCTCTGCTGAGTTCAGTAGTAGGTCTCTCTCTCCAGCCAGCCTGTGGGCGAGAGGAGACCACAGTGAGCTGGGGAAGGTAAAGGGGAGGCGGGCGGGGAGCGCGGATGAGGTAGGTGGGTGGGGTGGGGGGATCTCAGGGCTCCCCGGGCAGAGGGCAGGAGGGCAGGGCCCGGGGCAGCGCCAGCTCGGGGGAGAAGGGAACGGCGGGCACAGGCTGGAGGGGGCTGCTGAGCGCTCAGAGCAGGGGCGGGAGCCTCACCGCCAGGATGACGTCGGATGGTGAGTTTTCGGATTTCGTCATAGACAAAGATAAGAACGCTGTAGGGAATGGCGCAGAGCCACCAGGGGAGCCTGTGGGGAGCAAGCGCGGGTCAGCGGGGCCGGGCCGGAGCGGCCGAGGACGGGCGGCCCCCAGGGGGTCCTGTCGCCCAGGGTTGAGCCCCCTGTGGGGAGGTCAGAGCCTGCTGGGGGAGGGTCAAGACAAAAACTGAGCGGCCAGCGATAACAGACGGTGACAAATGCCCTGTCGGGGGTGCACGCGGTGTCCCCGGATCCTGCGGAGCCGTGAGGGCGCTCCCGAAGCCCTGCAGGGCCTCTGGGCTTCGCACCCGCAAAGGGGGGCTAGTCTGAGCAGCATGGGCCTACCCGAGACCAGACGTGGGGGCTGTGTCGCCGTGGAGAACATACACTTGTCCGTATCACGAACACGGGCACCGTTTTGCTCCCAGCACCTCTTCTGTAATGAGGGGCCAGGGAGAGAGACTCTGGGGGGAGGGCCCAGTCGGAACCACGTCTGTCCCCTTGGGTGAGAGGGACGTGGCCTGGACCAGGGCCGGCCCCGAGCAATGCACTGCGAGCCACCTGCGAGGCTTGATGTCTTCCAGTGGCCACATTAAAATACGTAAGAAGAAACAGGGGCAGTTAATTCTAATAATAGATCTTTATTTAACCCAGTTTATCCAAAGTATCATCATTTCTACACGGAACCAATGTAAACATTATAAGGAGATATTTTGCATTCTCCTTTTTATCCCAAGGCTTCCAGAGCCAGGGAGTCCTGTACCCTGACAACGCATCGCGCGCCAGACACTCAGTTTTCCAAAGGTCAAGGGAAACGTGGTCCCACCCGGACGGGAAAGCTGCATTTAGTGGGATAATATCTGCCACTGCTTGAGTCTTTAACTCGACATTCACCGGATAAAATGACCAACTCACTTTCCCGGTCTCGGTAGCTGAACGCCGAGAGCCCAGCGGCGGGATGTGACGTGGGAATGACGCAAGATTAAGGTTCCTTCCCGCCTGCAGCCCACCGACACGTCCTGGACACAGGCCGAGGGGCCTCCCCCTAGGGACTCAGCTGTCTCGGTGTTGACACTTGCTAAGGCCACAGGGCAATCCTAGCCCGACCCCCGGGTCCTGGGAGTCGACTTGAACATATAAAAATTCCTTTGGAAACTATCTGCAGCCCCCGAGGTGCGTGTTGACGCTCATCCCCCAAGCACACGACCCACTGATCTACATCTGGAGGGTCTCATGGGTCGGGTTTCATGGCTAGCCCGCCATAAATGCCCCCTCGAGGTCCTGGGAACCCTGCTGCCAAATTACCGGGGGACTGACGCACTCCCTGGGCCCCTCCCAGCCTGGAAGTGTCCGGTGGGCGCTCACTCCTCGCGACCCCGTGCAGCTCTTTCTACCAGCGGGTCCTGTCCCCGCGCCTGGTAATAACACCACCCTTTGGCACCAAAGACCGCTTAAGAATTCTTTCTAGGCCCTTGGCGTTGAACCCTGACACCTTTCCTGCATCAGACAGCAGCTGCCATAGTGGCCCGCATAGACCTCGCCTGGCGCTCAGCCACACGCGCACCGTTCCCTACACACGCTCACGGCGGCCTGCCCGGGCCGTGTGATGCACGCTCGGCAGGTACCGCGGAGGCGCAGGCGGGTTACACA